TACTATTGCAAGAATTTTTAATTTTTTTTTACTATCTTGCTTGTACTAATTAACATATTATATTATTWAAAATTTATTTTAATTATATTATAAAATGTTATAATTAACTACTTTTTTAATTATTTTACATAATTATCAACTGTCGTTTACCAAATATCTATATTATATTATAAATCATTTGACAAAAACGCTTAAAAATATTTTTTATGCATGAAGTACTGTATATTGATGAATATTACTTAAAATTCAAAATTACAAGTAATCATGCATAAATACAACTTATTAAAGCTCCCTGTTTAAATTCATGTAACTAACTGCAGCTAAACATAATCAAATAAAGGATAAACATCTCATTTTAAAATATAAAAAATCTAAAATATAATTAGGATAATTATCGAGTTCTAACAAAATAATTAACTATTATCTTTATAAGAAAATTATATTACTAAACCAAATATAAATTATTTCGTTATTGAACTTAAATTAAATTAATTAAAAAAATTGAAGTAAAAAATTACACAAATTTATATTTTATTCAAAAATAAAAACATACCTTTTTTTTCAAAATCACATAAGACCATATTATAACATCGATTGAGATAAAAAATAAAATAAAATATTAAAATCAAGATGTTTCTCGATACATTATACGAAGTAATAAATTAAATTATGAGTTAACATTCAAGTTACAACTGCCTTATCTAGTAGGTTGACAAATAAAACCTAAATAAAAAAGGTACTTTTTGATCGATTAAAATGACAGTCATCATTAGGTTGAGGACCAGATGAATGTGAAAGGACCGGCAGAAAGAGGGACCAGGCTGGCTCAGAAAGGACCGGCCCACTTAGGCCCAATTTTTGCCAACTCATACTTCTGTGATCTGTCTACTAATAAATATAATATTTAATTTAAAATATTTTATGTTCTTCAAATATCTTTTAATATACTTTCTTTATTTCAAAATATATATTTTTTTTACAAATAAATGTTTAATATCAGAAATAGATAACTAAATTTTAAAACCTATTTTTACAGACTATTTATTAAACATTTATCAAATAAGTGTTTGGAAATATTTAAGAGTTGATAAGATGAATAAGTTAACTAAGGGATCGTTTACTTAAACACTTATTTGGTAAGCATTTGTTGAAAAAATTCAACACTATCACTTATCTTACCTAACAAGACTTTTAGTTCGTCAAAAGACATTGTATGTAAAAATCTTCCCGATAAGCACTAACCGAGTAAAAGTCATCACCTTCACTTACCAGGTAAGACTCTCAGTCCTTGCTTTTGTTCTTACCAGTAAGATTATTGTTCCTTGTCATAGTCATCCAATAAGGTATTGTGACATAGTAAATGCTTACCCGAGTAAGCGTTTGGTAAACAGCCCGTAAGACTTATAAGCTAGCTTATTTTTTGAGTAACTATTTGGATATATATAAGCTAACTTATAAGTTAGCTTATTGATAAGGTAATTGGAGTAGCTTATGAAGAATATTTTGACATTTTCTCTTATTTTGACTTTGATTAATATTAATTATTAATTATATTTGTATCCGTTATTAATAAATATTAACTATTAATAAACTATTATTATATTAGTAAATATTAATTATTAATTATATTTATAAAAAAATATTAATTAATTAGAATATGTAAGATTGATCAATTTTATTTTTATTCATACTATATGTAATGGTTATTAAGTTAGATTTATTCTAACATTTATTTTAACAAATTCAAAATTTATAATATACATGTAATAATCAATTTTAAATTCTTTTAGTTAACATAATTATTTAAATTTTTGTTATTATTTTATTTGGATTAATTAATATATTACATTATTATATTTTTATTTTTATTATATTGTTAGAAATTTATCTTAATTATATTATGAAATATTTGTAATTGACTATTGTTTTAAGATGCCTATTTTGATCATTTTACATGTTTATAAACTAGTTTTTATTAAATAATAATTATTTATCAATTAACTTATCAACTATCAACTAGCTTATTGGTTAAAAAGAGCTTATCAACAATCAGTTAACTTAATCGACTAGTTTACCAAATATAGCCTAAAATTAAAATTAGCATTTGACTAACTGAAGAATATTATAATACACTTATTATGGGGCAAAGAAATTAACACCCTAAAAAAGTAAGATGTTGCATTTGGTTTTAAACGAATCAAGTAAATGAAACAATCATATTTGCACAATTTCATGATCTATATTACTTCATCTGTCACTAGGTTGTTTACTAAACATTTATCCGGATAAGTGTTTATTAAGTCACATTACCTTACCGGATAAATATGATAAGAACCAAGAATCTTACCCGGTAAGAGCGAAACAAGGAGCAAGAGTCTTACTTGGTAAGTGAGGGCGACGACTCTTACCACGATAAGCGCTTACCAAGTAAATTATTACATACGATGTCATTTTGATGGACTAAAATTATACCCGATGAGTAAATAATAGTGTTAAATTTTACCGGTATATACTTACCAGGTAAATGTTTGATAAACGGCCCGTAAGTGTACACAAAAGTACAGAGTGTTAGTTATAAATAATTTAGTTATCAAAATAACAATCTTACCTCTTCGGTAAGATTTGAAAATTTAGTTAACAGTATTTTGGGACAAAGGAAGTACTAATTATATTTAGTGTGATAGTTTTTGGAATTTTATAAAAACTTTTGAACGTTTTGTGACTCAACAAACGACTACTAAAACACCGGAAACATCAATGAAAGAGTTGATACCAAGAGTCGCTTACGCTCGCTTGCTACTTGCTAACGCTTAACCTTTTCTTGGATATTTGATGGCACATAAGTGAACTAACCAATATACAAAAGACCAAAAAACACCTAGCTGCCGTCCACTGGTTCTTACGTAAGCTCGGGTGGATGAGATATGTTACATTTCTCATCTTACAGCTTTCTGCCTTCTCAGAAGCTCGAGGCGGGAAGAGATTTCTGCACATTTCCTTTTGGTTTCCATCACCTGTTTCTCCAAATCCTCCACCTGTTTTCGTTCAACAATCAATACGCAAACCATGTAAAGAGTTCAAATTACCATTCAGAGCAAACTGATGCCAAACCAAAGGGTCATTGGGTCAGCGGTATCCCAGTTACCAAAGATGAGAGGCGTGATCATTTGCCGTATGTAAATATTATATACTGTTGACTTACCGTAGTTTTTAATTCATTCTCCTTTTGCATGTACTCCTCACACCTGCAACGAAGAATCGCAAGGGTAAAAGCGTAATCAAACAAAGTACGAAGAAAAAAAAAGGTCACGCAGTAAAATGGTATCAGAGAAACCAAATTCACCCGGTAAATCCTGCTTGAAAGCAGGGTCTAGGAGGGGTGAATCTACACGGTACCGACCTCTACTCCAAAAGGTAGAGCAGCTGTCTCTGAAGATTCCCAGTTTGTGCAAAAGGGTGAGCGAAAAGAAAAAGCATATATTAAGCAGCATAAAAATGAAGGAAGAAGAAAAAGAAAAGATATACGAAGAAAGACGACACACACAAACCTTCCGTCTAACAAAGGCCTCTGATACCCTCCCTGTTTCAGATAGAGACCAAATGATGGAATATGGTATTAATTGAGACCTGGTGTAACATGCTTATGGGATATGGACTATGTCATCCCTTCTGTTGGAATCAGCATAGTGGACAAAAAAAAGCGTCATCTTTAAAGTTGCCTAAAAGAGTACTCGCTTTCGCTCTTATGCCAGAATTACCATTCGTAATATGTAAATTCATGGACCTTGCTTTGTTTCTAGTTTGAGATAAAAACTAGTGTTATTTACAAAATCGCCCTTTTGCTCAAAAAGCAAGAAACGCCAACACCCTTTTCAGGATTCACCGAAACCATCAATATACCAACAAAAACAAGAGTAAAAGCTAAAGAATCTACATTTGAAATAAAGCGGCTTACTTGTATTTGTTACCACCCGTCTAATTTAATGTGGACAACCCTTGTTTCAGTATAAAATCTTTTAGATCGAGACTTGGAGATTATACAAATCTTTTCCTCACATTTCACTGTTCCATTATTTTCTGTACCCTCTAAATCATATTCTCCAGAGCAGTATTCGATGAATCCATAGCAACGATCCTCTAATGAGTTGTACCTCATTCACAGGAATGTAAACTTTCCTCTAAATTTATTGCCTCAAAGTCTAGAAGTGTAGGCCATATTTTGTACATAAGATGCCGTCCTTATTTCTAGTTTTTTGAATTAAAACCTTCCCATGGGGCAGAGGTGCAGAAGTCATAGCGGATGCCATATCCAGAAGCTACTTGAACAAAACCAGCCTGTGAAGAATATGCAAGCTGCAAAAAGCTAACTTTTACCTCATAAAAAGTTGGATATTCTCATCACATACTTGATCTATGTCCCTTGAACCATCTCCATATGCTACATCTTGATCAAAACCCTGTGATCAGTGACATAATACCATCAATCTCTATTACAGAATTTGTTACCCACAGAAAAATGAGAAGATAAACAAATTTTAGTTCTCAGTATCCAACAGTGCCATTGATCCAACTTCCACCATATAAAAGAAGTCTGACTGGTTTACAGACAAAAACTACAGCCCTGAGCACAATGATTTTTCATAAGGGGACGTTCACCACAAAACCAGTTCATGAATAATCAGCTTAGACGCCTAATTTTTGAGATAAAAAAAGCAGGTCATAAATAATTAGTTTAGTTGCCTAAGTTTTATTGAAGGATATAAGCAAGGAGAGATGAAGAAAACAGATAACTAAGGCAGAGATAACTGTCTCATCGCACAACAAACAAGCCTACTACAATGACAAGAAAGGCCCTTGCTCTTACTCCTGTTCTTGGAATGCTTTCTTTCATCAAAGTCATGTAAGAAATAGAAAACGTACAACACGTACAACTAAAGGCTTGTCAATTCTTGGTGTAATACTCACTCAAAAATGATGGGTATCTGATAAGAACCAGATCTACTAAAACAATTAAAATAAAAGCAATGTAGAAGAACGGTAGTTGGATGCTTGATTAACAAGAAAAGATAGATGACTAGCTATTCGAGAGGCTAGACTCTCCCAAGGACAGACTCAATATTTTCTGGATACCCTACTCTCCCCTCTATCCCTATTTATTAACAGCCCTAATAACCCTAATGGGATTGGGCCTAGGGTCGAAGCATAACAGTATCATTAGAACAGGTTTACATAACATAACAATGGAAGATATATATAAGAGAAAGCCTGATCTTTGCATGAAACAATAACTGAATCAATTCTACATATAATGAAGAAACGGGCAAGCAAGACTCACGGTTTCAAATCCAGGAGGAGCCTGAAGGATGGGTGTGTCATTGTTGTAAATGGTTCTGCCATGGCTCCCCATCTGTGAACCACTAAAATCCAGCCTTGGGTTAGCAGCAAGACCAGCACCGGTTTGATTAACCCTTTCACCTTGGGCATGAAGTGGCATAGCAGACACCTTCTGCATTTTGCGCAGTAGACCTGGATCCGGCTTGTGCCCAATTAAGTGACAGTGGTGTCTCCTGTATTGTTGATAACAAATTACTAATCTCAATATAAAGCAGAAAATGCCAAAACAATCAACTTCTGGAAGAAAGTTACAATTAGTAAGATGACTACGGTGGTCATTACATTATATATTGTGGAAAAATGTATTTAGAATATATCCATGTGTAGTAGATAGAACACAAACTAGCACTATTGTTTGTGTGTATATATAGCGAGATTTTCCCTGTTATAGTAATAAGAAAATACCCTCCCCTCCCTCTCTCTCTCTATCAAAGGGACACCTGGTAGAGCCGTAGAGGCATCCTTTTCAAAAAAAAATGGAGGGTTGGCTCTAGAAGAATATACAGATACCGATTATGGTGAGTCAATTACTGACAGAAGATCATTCTTTGGTTATTGTAACTTGGTGGAAATTTGATGTAACGAAGGAGTAAGAAAAAGAATGTGGTAACACATTCGAGTTTTGAGGCAAAGTCCATAGCAATGGGTCAAGGTGTGTAAACTACTATGGTTGAAGATGGGTCTAGAAGATTTAAAGATTAAGCAGAATGGCCCTATAAAAGTCTATTGTGATAACAAGGTTGCAATACACATAGCTCACAACCCAATGCAACATGATCGAACGGAGCAAAATAAGATTGACACACTCTTTATCAATACAAAAGTTGACAGCATTGTCTGTAAACCTTATGTCTCTAAACATGGCCAACTTGCTGACATACTCACCAAGGGGTTAAGTAGTTCGGTGTTTCAGAATTTTGTAATGTGTATTCAAACTGGGACGGTGAATGCCTATTCCACATAAGTGTTTACAATTATCCCACATATGTAGTAAATAGAAGATAACTTAATATTACTGAAAATACATAGTGGGGTTTTCTTGTTAACCTAATAAAAAATACACTTTCTCTATCCGTGTATTTCCATTTCACGATACATGTACTCTATTGGTCACTGTTACCTTAACCGCTCAAAGACACATGATTGATACTAATTGGTGTGAATTGGAAAGTGTGAAAAATCCTTTGACAAGCAGTATTTGGCTCAACCAACACTGTTACAATAGTTTGATTATACCAGCACATAAGTTTAGCTAAGAAAGGCTCATTCTGTCCCAAACTTGATGACCAATTTTCTCCTAATATTTTACAGCACAGCTTCCAAGCTACACCAAGCATAGAAAGACTCCAGTACCTGTCCCAACTCCCAAATCCAACCATGAACGAAATTCCTGTTTGTCCTTTCTGTACAATTATGTCGTATATCTCTTTGCTCACAGCATAAGGCTACAATAGAGTGAACTGTGTATAGAGTGATGCCGGTGTCAAAAAGTGTAAATGACAATACTAAAAAGAGATGATGAAAAAGAACAACATGCCTTACAGGATTCCTCACTTCCTTGCATGGTGCATGAATGAACAGTTTAAAAGGCCAATGCCGTACATGGAAAATACATATCTTAAGACAAGTTAGCCATCTCTCTCTTACACCTAAAGTTCGCTTCTAGTAGTCAGTATTTCACAATATTATTCTTCTATTCTCAAAAAGATGGTTGTCTTCAGAAACAAATGCAATAGCTGCTAGGTTGCTACTTGCTATGAACCAAGCACATGTAGTATATCCCTATTATTTTTTATTGGTCTTATCTGCATTCACCTAAACAAACCTTGGGAGTCAATTGTCTGGAAAGTCCCTATGTCTGATGGCCATTGTACATAAATCACCTGTCTGTAATCAATTTTACACAGCAGTCACAAGCTCCATCAGATCCACTACCACTAGATTTCTTACTGTTAGTAATGTCAGTTGGTCCATCCAGATTTCCTGTCTATCCAAATGAATCATCCCATTCACATCTAAACCAAATGTAATCATCCGACAATAAAAGAGCTAAATGCTAATCATATGAAGCTCGTATAAACATCAAACTCAGCAACAGGAATCTTCAGGTCAGCTCAAGTCAACCAGTTTATATCGTACCCCTGTTGACGCAGCCTAAACAACTGTGTTGGGAGTATGTAACTTCAAAACTGAGACAGTGTTTACAAAAAACGAACCAGTAGTCCATTTGCATTTGTCTTAGCTTCATTTCCAGCCTAGAGAACAAAGACGATCTTTCAAAATCCTGCTTGTCATGTGCTGGTTCTATGAAATTTGCTTCAAGAACTCCTGCAATAATACAGTCAGTAGATGTAGGTTATAGAACGTGTTTCACATTCAAACTCGTGAAGAATATATACTTACCAACGATGCCATATCCTTTAGAATGTCCATCAGAAGTTACTTTCCAGAAGGGCTGAAACATTTGACATTGAAAATCTTACCAGACTTGGACTTGTAGTGTATAAAGCACCCCAAAATAAATTGAAGTCCCAACTTTGAAAAACACATACTCTGATAAGGCGATTTTTATGGTAAACGTTGAATCCATTAATTCCAATAGCTGGTGCTTCTTTGATAAATCCAAGGGTTGTCTCCACAGAAGCCTAAATCAGATTGATGCATGATATGAACCTCAGAGAACCATGAATTAGAGCTTTAACTCAGAATAAAATATATGATCTAAAAAAATTGGACCTTTATGCTTTTGTAAATTTCAATCAACTTAAATTAAGGTAAAATAGACAAAAAATGATTAGTAAATTTTCATGGTATTTACAATTTGCCTCAGCAAAATTATTTTTCAATCTCATACCTACCTTCTCACAATCATACCAAGCACTTCTTTTTAGCATAATTGAGGGTTGACATCACAACTCTGAATGCTTAACAATTGATGGTCTATGCTTTACTTGCAAGCAATAACCTAATTTTCATTTATTGGTTCATTAAACTCTCAACTTTGAAATTAATTTGTAATATTGATGACAATTGGAGGTCCATGATATAATTGATATGATTGCGAGAATACAAATATATAATTGATAAATCTGTTTGCAGAGGGAAATAATTGAAAAAAAAAAACATGCAATGATCACTGCATTTATCTTGCCTTCATTCAACTAATTTAAGTTACGTGCCAAAAACAAAAAATAGATCCAGATAGCAAGCAACACATATTGTTACCATGGTTATAATAGGCTTAAACGCAAAACATATCTGAACTTTTTAATTGATAACTAAAGTGCTTGTCACTGCACCTCTTCATAATTTCCCGCTGGGTTCTTTCTTTGTGACCACTAGTCCACTAGATTGCAAGTTTGAGATAGAAGGTTTGTAACCGGTGAGACCAGGCATGCACTAACTAGAAGGCTAAAACCCACAATATTCTGAGTGCTCCACTGTTTTAAGTACAGAACTAATTCATAGCATCCACAGACTTCACCAAAAACGTCAACGTTATCAAGTCTTAACACGACAGGAATCAGGTAAAGTAAATATCCATAAAATAAAGATACCGTTTAAGGTCCTACAAGTAAAGTCATATCCAGAGTCCAGACAGATACTTGTATATATAGGCTTCAACAGCAAGATTTGACAAAGAGAGCCAAAAAATAAGGCAAATCTCTAAGGAGGAAATAAATACTCCCACCGTAGATGCAAAAAATGGTTTAAACAAACATTAAGAAATGTTTCTGGGAGTCCCAGGATTCCCTTAACAAACAAGGACATGAAATCACATGAATCAAGACTTTACTTTTCAAATTTTCAGTTGAAGAGATCGTGCTTGACCCATGGGCATCATGGTAAATGTGTATGGGTGGTGTGCGAGGGAAAATAAGTCACTTTAAATTCTAAAATTTCTCAAAGAAAAGGACCATTGCACCTAACCCAAAAGGAAATTAAATCTTTTGTACGACGGAGAGAATATATTGGTGTTCTTTTACAATTGGAGAAAATAAATAATCTCATGATGATAACATGAAATTATTTCCAAGATCTTTTCGAAAATGGAATTCAGTATTTGCAAAATTACATTGATCATAAAAATAATGGAAATTATTTCTGAAACTTTTAAAGAACTAGCCACGGAGAGTTCAATCTAAAAGGAAGCCCAATCTTTGGAGTTACATCTGATAGATTGGGAGCAAGTATATACTTCTTAAGCAGTCCGTGCTACAGTGCACCAATATACTGTATGATAGTAAACATGCAAATATGTTTTATACATCTTACACCACAGGGAACACCAAAAAAGAATTAGACAACTGTTAGATGCCACTGCTTCAAGGATTAGAAATGGGCTTCTTGAGCTTGGTAAATATAGTTAACCCAGGAATGCTCAAAAGTGGAGTTCAGAAAAGAAAATAATCAGTCATACACAGCTGTTTCTTGAACCCTGCTGTCGTATCCGCTGCAATGAATTCCCTTCAAACCACAGTCACTGTCTCCATTGACAATGACTAAGAAATAAGAAACTTAAATATTATTGGTGTATCATGAAGATCAGTTCTTAAACATTGGTGCGATCTCGAGTCTAGTGTTACTAGTGCTCATCTCTCGCAAGGAGCCATTCTATTTTGAAGAGGTTACGAGGCAAGAACCACTTAACAACCAAAAGGGTAATTGGCCCAGCGGTACCCAGATTACAGGTAGTGCTCAGCCTCACAGAAGGTCAAGGATTCAAACCTCACCAAAGGTGAGGAGTGTGTGTGAGCATTTGCTATATATAAATATTATATACTTAAAAAGGAACTACTTAGCAGTAGTTTCTGATGCTGTGATGCATATAACCAATTAACAGCTGATAATGCCACAGTTTTTCTTATTTTCCTGCACTAGGAAAATATATATATTCAATTGTTTGATCTTCAGGTATGTTCTGTTTGGAAGGATAAAAGATGCTAATTTGATTACTAAAAACCATAAAAAAAAAAAAGCAATTATAATTCTCTAGTTTCCAACCAACTGTGTAACAGGGTGTCTAAAACAGAGACACAACATACCAAAAGGGCTAGACATGGCAACATATCATATACTGCAATTTTACCTCTTTCATTGAAGACACTTGTGGCCGGTAGGTAACTACTTCCCGATAGTTCAAATCTTCGGCTATACTGTACTGTTCAACAAGTTTCCCCCTCAGGAAAATTTTGAAGTTCTTAAACTTTCTGAGGTACAATATAGAAGCATATGCCTGTCAAAAGCAGCACGCTACATCATGATGATGCCAAATTAAAAAAAATAAAATGCACCAAATAAAATGTTTATGATTCAAATAATCACCCTTAATGAATGAAGAATGCGGTAAGAAATATGTGCTTGTGTTTCAGCCGCTTTCTTGCTCACTTTGGACAAACGAGAAGCTTCATCCCTTAGTTTTATATCCTATATCAGCAGGCAAATAGAAAATTTAGTACTTGTATAAAAAATATTATTATCATGAAAATGAAAGCCACGGTCTGCAAATGATGGTTTAGTAATCATACACGAGGCTACTCATGAAAGGCAATATGGGGTCAGCCTACATAACACTTCATACAAGCCATAAAACTTTAAGCACAGTTGGACTTGTGGCAATAGAAGAGTGTACTTTGAAATAGTGAAATGGCATGTTCATTTATCACACAGATGGCTTGAACTTCAGACCTTCTAAGTACTTCCCCTAACGACAAATAAAGAGGCAGGTGGATTCTCCCAAAGCATTTCTTTGTTTCCTTTTGTAGTGGATAGTATTCACTTGAACATGTTATTATGCAAAATGATTTTCAAAATTGTAATTCTCCCGCCATTTAAAGTAAATGAAACATTCACTTAAGCGTATTTCAATGAGAATATTCTGATTGTCAAATAAACATCTAAAAGAACCTTTATATCACGATGAAAAAATAGAAAAACTTCAATGACCTAAATTATATCTATATGTTATGATGATTACCAACGGGCAAAAAAGGCTTTTTGTTAAAACTTCGCGAAAAAGGGAAATGGTACATTCATCGGGCAAGCCAAAAAGGAATTCATCCATTTATTTCGGGAGGGAGTACATCATTGTAATATACCTCAGCATACCTCATCATCTTCGTCACAGTTCAATTCATAGATGCCTTCATCATTGAGCCATAAGTTGTATATGATTATCTTTGTCCCATGCGACCCAATATCTTCAAACTGGGAAAGGTAAATGTCGTAAGGAAAGATGATATGAGGAACCAAGACAACAAGAAGTCCACACTGGCATGCTTATAGAAACGCTTACCCAATATGAAAATTGCAACAAAGAAAGATCGAGCAACTTATTTACAATTGCATGGTGAATAGATAAATAACTATGAAATTGCAATGTTACAGTTTTCATAGCATCAGCAAACAATTTTGTGAATATTTTAACTTTTAAAGAAGATAAAGAATGCTTAAATGGAAAAAGAAAGGGAACTTATAGAATGACCTTAACAAGCATATGTAGAACGAATGTGGATACAACCTATCAAGCTTATTTGGCAGAAAGCAAACCTTATACTACACTGTTGCTATGTTGAATACAGACCTGACCGTAAGATGAAAGAAAATGCAGCTGTGGAAGTGTTTCAACGTAGAAACACATTGTTACAGTCAAAGGTTATCAAATAAATGCATCATAGAACATAAATAACCTGTTGCAGCAGGTCCTCTTTCGAAGCGAACGGAGACCATTCAAGAATTGTCTTCAAGTTAGCAGACCAATCATCAAGAGAGCTATATACTATAGGTTCTGCCCAATGCTTCGAGACATCAAAATCAATCTGCAACCAGATTCTTCATAAGAATAAAAGAACAAAAGAAACAAAGATCAATCTAAAAGGAATATAAAGAGTCCAAACGTCTACCATTGGGACAATCACGTCATCCTGTCCGGTTCTGCGTAGAAACGTATAGGATAAAAGACCAACACTTTGGGTTTCTCGGCTACAATATACAGTAACAAATAGTAGTTTTAGAAAAAATTAAGTTCAATTGTAGCAAACCCATATCGACATATACGTTTAAATTAGATACAATAAGTAACTGATAAGCTTATATTATGAGAATTACATGTACAATCAAGATGCTATTTTTTCAAATAAATCATTAGAGAAAAATTATTTTAATTCAATATATACAATAAACATATCATTTATCGCATAACGCACAGGTAAATAAAAAGTTTTTATGTTAAGTTAAATATAACAAACTTGTAACAATAAATAAGTTCAAATTAAAATACAATGAGTAAAGTAATAAGTTTGTATTACGAATTATACATAAAATTCAACATGCCATTTTTAAAAATACATCATTAGAGAAAAAACATTTAAAATTTAATATATATACAATCAAAATATCATTTACTATTACTTCTACAAAGCTAATGCAAAGGTATACCACTAATTAAAAATTGTAACTAGTTCATGCTCTCCTCAGGTTGAATGTAATTTTCTTAAAGTAGATAATAATTATATATGGCAAAGGCAACAAATAAACTCACATGCCCTCCTCACCTTTGGTGAGGTTTGAACCCCTGACCTCCTAGGAGGTTAAAGGCTACAATACCACTAAGCCAAAGCAATTAAAAAAACACTTGAATATAGAATCTGAAACCAATTCATGGATAACCAAATAATCCCAGATGAAAAAACCTGGTAGAGAGAGGATGGGGTGGAAAGAGTACCCATTCCTAGATGCACAACTGAAAACAATCACATCAGCTCCTAACCGCATAGTGCTTGTCTTGAACCCATTGCCATCTGAAAAAATAAATTTCCTTCAGTTGTCAAGATACATGTACATTAAATTCAAACTCAGCAACTTTATACAGCAAACAGAAACTTTATTAAAGTGAAGCTTGTAGATGCAAAACGAGGTTTTGTTGACTAAAGTCAATAAATTCTTGGACTAGGCTGGTGGATGATCATGAACCCTGACACGGTACTTAGGGGCTGTTTGGTTGGTTTTCCATTAAGTCCTCTATGGACAAAGTTGTTTGTGGATTAATATGGTTGTGTAGATTGAGAAGGTTTTTGTTTGGGATGGTTTTTTCATAGATGGAAGGAGCGTGTTTTTTAATTACGAAGGACAAGTTTGGAAAAAAAAACTTCGCTTTCTGCATAAAGCCCCCCCTAAAAGCTTACTGAATAAGCCACTTTCTATATCATTAAGCAACTACCAAACAGTCATGTATAGCTAACCGAATAAGCTGCGAGTCCCATTAAGCTCATTAAGATGCTAACAAACAGGCCCTTATTACCTCATACACATTTTAGAGTTAGTACAACTATAACATTTTGTTGCTTAAAGCCTTCACCATTGACACTTGATACTCATCATTCAAATTCCATCACATCTGACAGTTGAATGGCTATTGTTCAACACTGGTTATCAGGTATTTTCGTATTTTATTTTTTGTGTTTTATCAAAAAAAAAAAATCCGAATCGCGAAATCATCCACGATCACTTCCTTTTTTTATTAGTCTTGTGGCTTCATTGTTTCTTCCAGCACTTTGGACGTTAGAAATGGAGGTTGTGTTACTCTTCAGGTAGAAGCATAACCCAATAAATGCAAATTTGGAAAGCAACAGCCCCGCAAGCAAAATACAATCACAAGGTCAAAGAAACACCAAACACACCCTTGATGATGGCTTAAGAAAACGTCGAGGTGAAGACTACTTCACAACTACAACCCAATTGTACAGTCGAAAGAGAAGTGCTGCATAAGGCGAACAACTGGATGCAAAAACAATTGGTGTCACCCATGCTAAGCCACCAGATAACTGAGAGCAACAGAACTAGATGAAAGAGAAGTCGCCACAACCAAAAGAATTGAACAGAAAATGGAACAAGCATGATGAAGAACAGTCGATGTCCCAAAGCATTCAAAATCAGGCCCACAGTGGACAAAGAAGTCCTCTTTACAAGTCTTTTGACAGCTAAAGAAAAAGGCATGGAATGACGACTTGATGATAATATCCAAACAAATTAAGGCATCTCTCTAGAAAAGAAAGAAAAGAACAATCAAGATGAGAGGAAATAAAAACAAAAGAGAAAAAGGAGATGAGAATAAGAACAATAGAGACAGCTACACCAGTAATACCTAGATAAAAAGCACATCAAACACTCCAAAGAATCCCCTTATATCTACCCTACGGTACTGCAAACCTATTTGTCGATTCTGACCCCCTCCCCCCAACCAACCCTTCTGACCCCCTCCCCCCAACCACCCTACGAGCCTTACACGCAATCAACTACCCTAATCCAACGCCCCCATGTCTTCCTCGGCCTGCCTCGCCTCCTCTGTCATGAATTCAAAGGGAAATTCTTATGAAGAGCCTATAACTTTGTTACTCAACCCAACGGGATTCAATTCCCCCCTTCAACAGTGACACTATCCACCCTCTCACCTCAACCCCCCCCCCCCCCCGGTTTCTGATCGTGACATCATCCACCCTCCTCACTAGTGCCATCTACAAGTCTCGTGTAAACATGTCCAAACCACCACAGTATTTCATCTCTCAATTTATCCAAGATAGGTGCAACTCCCAGCTATGCTCGAAATACCTCGTTCGGTATCCTATCCACATTAGCCCGACCACAGGTCCATCTCAGTATCCTCATTTCTATCACTTCCATTTTTCTCTCACGAGTTTTCTTTATTGGCCAACACTCTGACCCATACAACATAGTTGGTCTATGGACTATTAGACAATTTAAGTGTGATATATATATATATATAATTATATTAGAGGGTCTAGAGTGTAAATGTATCTCTTATAAACATCCCTGATTGTAATCGTGATTTACATATACAATACACAATATTACCAAGTTTATCTTGGTATCAGAGTCGGCCCTAGACACCCTACAGTTGCCGACCACCCTCTGCCATCACAAGGCAACCCTGAAGCTATCGCACCCGTCTTCTACCTTATGGTTGCCACACCTTCTGCCGACCACCCTCTGCCATCACAAGGCAACCCTAAAGCTACCACACCCGTCTTCTACCCAACGGCTGCCGCACCTTCTGCCGACCACCCTCCGCCATCACAAGGCAACCCTAAAACTACCACACCCGTCTTCTACCCTACGGCTGCCGCACCTTTTGTCCAATGCAACTGTTGCAACTTTCACTCCAACTGAGAAAACCACCCATAACTCCCACAAGTTTGGATTCACTTTATCACCAAACAACTATGGTTATTGGAAGGCAATGGTTCAACCGTTCCTTGTTATAAACAACCTGTTCGGCTATGTTGATGGCACCATTCCCTATCCACCAATGACTATCTCATCATCATCATCTGGAAAAGATGCCGATGGCACCACAGTGCCGCCACAACAATCGAATCCCAACTACGTAGCATGGGTTTCCAATGATGCACACGTAAGGATGTTGATTATCTCTACAATCTCTAAGGCATCATTCCAACACGTTCAAGGACTTGCCTCCCATTGAACGTGCTTATGCTCCCCACACATCATTTAAGGAACACCCTAAAAACTCAGCTTCTTAAACTACAGATGAAGCTTGCTGAAACCTCCTCCGCATACCTAACGAGGGCTCAGGAATATGTTGAGGAATATGTTGATGCTCTCACCAATATAAGCGAAAAAATGAAAGAAAAAGATTTGGTGATGTTGGTTATCTCGGGTCTTAGAGAAGAATACAACAGGCTGAAGTCAACACTCCTTGGTCGCCAATTCTCAACTGCCTTTGCAGAACTTCATGGCCTGCTATCAGACCATGACTACGTGATCAAGAAATCTAGAACTGACATCTCTCCACCTCAAGCATTCACGACTGTCATGAACAACCGCAACTCAGCGGTTCCTGGTGCCACCTCGTCTACTCCTCAACCGGATCAACTTCAAGCTATTCAACAGCTTCTGTCACAACTTGGTCTTCAAGTTCAGCCTGTTAATGCACAGCCTACACAGGCCTTTTACACCAACAGATCTGAGAATAACCGTGGTCGTGGCCGTGGACGGGCTTCTAATCAAAACACTGTTTTTGGCACATGCAACAGGTGTGGGATTGGTCATATCTCGTCTCATTGCCCCAATCGCGACCCTACTCCTATGAGGACGAGACAACCACCTTCTGCCAACTTTATAGATTACCGGTCACAAGCTTGGCTTCCAGATACTGGCTCTAGCCATCATGTTGCACCGGACCTATCTAAGCTTCGATAACTCTGAGGCCTATTACGGTGAGGACAACCTTCACATTGGCAATGGTAAGGGTTTACCCATTCTACACATTGGTTCCTCACAACTTCATTCACCAAACAAAACCTTTTCCTTTAAAGACATACTACACGTACCTGACATAAAACAAAATTTACTTTCTATTCAAAAAATTTGTCTTGATAACCATGTGTACTTTGAATTTCACTCTACTTTTTTTGCTGTGAAGGAGAGGTTCATACACACTATCCTCTTCACGGGTCCAAGTAATGGTGGTCTCTACTTTTTTTGGATTTAGTTTTCTGTGATGTATGGGGCCCCGCTCCTGTTCCTTCTTTTGATGGTCACAATTATTTTCTGTTGTGTGTTGATCATTACTCCAGATTTATGTGGATTTTTCCATTAAAACTAAATTCTGGTGTTTATGCCACTTTTAAACGATTCCTTGCGATAGTTGAAAGGCATTTTCAAACCAAACTGAAATCTGTCCAAACCGACTGGGAGGCAAGTTTCGGAATCTCTCGCAATTCTTCTCTCCTCGCGGCATCACCCATCGCCTCTCATGTCCACATACAAGCGAACAAAATGGCTTTGTTGAACGACGACATCGACATGTTGAAACCGGTCTTCCTTTACTTGCTCAATCCCATACTCCACAACGGTTTTGGCATTTTGCTTTTTACACCGCAGTCTATCTTATTAATCGAATGCCATCCAGAACCAACTCAAACACCTCACCCTTTGAACATGTGTTCAAGCACAAACCCGATTTTTCCTTTCTTCGGGTTTTTGGATGCCAATGCTACCCTCATTGTCCGTACAATAAACACAAAATTGACTTCCGCTCTACACCTTGTGTGTTCCTTGGTTACAGCACCGCTCATCATGGCTATCGGTGTTACGACCCATAGTCTGATCGTCTTTACGTGGCCCCTCATTTTCGATTTAATGAACACTCCTTTCCTTTCCAAACATCTCCTACAACCACTCCTACTCCAACCACTCCAAATCCTTACATCACCTATCCCAAATCTAACCTCCTACCAGAACCGCCACCCTCAACAGCACCTACTGTGCAATTTGTCCCACAAGAAACAACACCTACCACCACCCCTCCTAATGACCACCCCACGGCCCAACCACCCCTTATTCACACCTATCACCACCGTTCCAAAGTCACCGAACCACCACCTCAGCCTACCTTATCCCCCTCCTCTACCACCAAACAACCCACCCGTACTCGACCACCCAACCTACACCCCAATCCCAAACAAACCAAACCTTACAATGTCTCCTCATACCATACCCATCATCCTTCCATTGACACCGAACCAACCACCTTTACTATTGGTAACAGGTACCCTCAGTGGCGTACTGCCATGGCTGATGAGTATTCGGTGTTGATGCGGAATGGTACTTGGACATTAGTCCCACGCGTTCCAAATTCCAACGTAGTTGATTGCAAGTGGGTATACAAATTAAAAAGGGAAACAGGGGTTATAAAACGTTACAAGGCACAACTAGTAGCCAAAGGGTTGCGGCAACAACCAGGCATTGATTATCAGGAGACATTCAGTCATGTGGTCAAATCGACCACCATACGTGTTGTTCTATTTCTGGCCGCAACACAAAAATGGTCCCTAAGGCAACTTGATGTGCAAAATGCCTTCCTACATGGTAATCTCAACGAGACAATTTATTTGCAACAGCCACCAGGGTTCGTTGACCTGGACAAACCTGATCATGTTTGCCTACTTCACAAATCCTTATATGGATTAAAGCAGGCCCCTAGAGCGTGGTTTCATCGACTTTCTACGGTCCTTCATCCCTTGGCTTTCAGGGCTCCAAAACGGACCCTTCCTTGTTTATTTACTCCCACAAGGGCACCACTTGTACATGCTAGTTTATGTTGATGACATTCTTTTGACAAGAAACAACCCGGAGGCTATTGACAAAGTGATACGTCTTAGCCAATCCTTTGTTGTTCAGGATATGGGTCGCTTGTCTTATTTTCTCGGTATTGAAGTAACCAGTCAAGGTCATGATATGATTCTATCACAACGGAAATACATCCTTGAACTCTTGCAACGCACAGACCTGTCTAATGCTAAACTGACTTCATCTCCTATGACCACTAATGTTAATCTTGCTCTAGGTGATAGTGCTACATTTGCTGAGCCGGTCAAGTACCGCCAAATTGTGGGTGCCCTTCAGTATGTGACATTTTCTCGTCCGGACATTACTTTCGCGGTCAACAAAGTCTGCCAATTTATGCACTCCCCCACTGAAAATCATTGGACGACAGTCAAAAGAATTCTTTGTTACTTGCAGGGCACTGCTGACTATGGTTTACAATCATGCATGATTCAGGCACAATCCTTCATGCGTACACTGATTCTGCTTACAACTCCCTGACTGGCTTCTCCGATGCTGATTGGGTTGGTTGCACCGACAACCGTCGATCTACTAGGGGATATGCTATCTATCTTGGTTCAAACCTAGTACCATGGTTTGCACGAAAACAAAGGGCTGTCTCTCGGTCATCAACAAAGTCTGAATACAAGGCTCTAGCCGATATTGTTGTTGAGCTCATATGGCTCCAAACACTGCTACGCGAACTTCGTGTTCTTGTGAAGTCGGTTCCTACCTTATGGTGTGATAATCTTGGTGCTACGAATCTTTCAGCTAATCCTGTCTTTCATGCCCGTACCAAGCATGTAGAAGTTGACTTTCACTTTGTTCGAGAAATGGTTGCACAATGGAAACTTTCAGTTCAGTTTATATCTAACAGATGATCAGATTGCAGACGTGTTCACCAAGCCGCTACCTTCACAACGGCTTCTCCTATTACGGTCCAAGCTACAGGTTGCTCCCCGGCCTTAGCTTGCGAGGGAATATTAGACAATTTAAGTGTGATATATATAATTATATTAGAGGGTCTAGAGTGTAAATGTATCTCTTATATATATCCCTGATTGTAATCGTGATTTACATAAACAATACACAAAATTACCAAGTTTATCTTGGACACACTGTAGAATTTGTCCTTCAGTTTTAACGGACCTTCTTGTCACACAACGCTCCTATGGCAGCCCTCCACTTCACCCATCTTGCCTAACCCCTCCCTCTATCTAGATATAAATCCCAAATGCTTGAAACTATCCTTTTGGAGTACCTTTTATAATAGCCCGGATATAAGATCCTATTAATATCCTCCTGAAACTTCCTTTTGAAACTTCCCACAACAGAGACGAGATCAGTTAATAAGTTAATCGCCTCTTTTCATCTTGCTATACTATTGTTATTTTTTTCTTCATCCTCCAGATATAAGATCCTTATGAATATAAAATTTACGACATCATACTCTCTACAACTGTGGATGACAGAAGACTAATCATTCATCCTAAACTGGAATAGCGGAAAGAAATAGTGGTTCATGTAATAAATAAAAATATTTATATGCATTCAACCCTTAATATACATAATACATATCTAATAGTAATGAATCTCAATGTTATTAATGAAGACTGAAAATAATTTAATATATTTAATATATGTACTTAATATTTGAAGATGTCGTTTTATTTTTTATTAACAACATTCTAAGTTGTCTACTTCTTACTAGAGATACACCTATGTACTAATTGTAAAAATCCACGAAGTCGTTTTAAAGATATCAAGAGAGAGGAGATGAAGAAGAAGAATTACAAGGACGACGAAGAAGGAAGACAACGAAGAAGACAAGAAGGATGAAGACATTGATAAAGAAGATGGGATGGAAAACCGTTCGATTTTTGACAGCTACTCTTCATCCTCTTCAATTTCGTGGAGGATGAAAGAGAGAAGAGAGGATTGCTGAAGGGTGTCTTAGTCTTGCAATATGCAAGGAGGTTGTTTTTCATGACATCTAAACCTAATAATTGCTAGTAAATAGGATACCTATAAATAAACACAGTTCATACTTCAGTGAGCTCTTTCCCTGTTACACTAAATACCTTCAGTTTGAGATCCAAACTACTGTGACATGATATCCAACACAACTCAACTACTTTTTATGCAACAAAGACTTTCTCGCAAGTCGCAAAGTTAATCCTCATCACTAAACGGCTAAAAATATTAAACGAAAACAGTTCTTGATAGTTACATTGTCCGATTGTGCTATTTGTCTTCTTTGTTGAGTATCCCAAACTCATGCACTTCCGAATGCCCTCTGGGTCCATTCCACCTCCATCATCTGCAACAACATTTCAGATTGCTTAATCAACATGGACACTGATACCTACCTAAAGAAACGCTATAACCATCAATGTGGAAGTGAAATACATCAAAGACAGTACCAAGAAAAAGTAAAGCAGGAGAATTGTCCCTCTTGCTGTAAATTCTGTCAACCTTCACAAAAGTTGCCCCATTGTTGATCTGGTACACAGGGTTGATGAAAATAACATCATACAATCTGAATTTTCAATTAGCAATGTAATATTTTACCCGCTGAGTTATGCATATAAACTTGCAACCCATCTATATGAAAAAACATGTGCATAGAAATGCAACCAACTGACATATTTTACAAAAAAGGAACACATGTAAATAGTGCACAAGAAAATAATAATCTCATGGAATAAAATATGCAGCAGTTTTAAGAGCTACAAATTAAACTTAATAGAGAAACTCCTAGACAATTGAATATGTTAACCACCTTCTATGAACTCAATGTAATCAATTGGTCATTCACAGAAAAAACCGAAAAATAAGGCTAGATAGTTTACATTTCATCTCAGCTCGCCTCAACTAAGACTTGGCTGGTAAAAGAAATATACCAAGCTCAATTCCTTTGGGACATTTACTTCCTTTCTCCGTTTTTGACTTTGCGGGTCCATTTCCAACATGTGATAAATGGAGATGTAGTATGAAAATAAGTGGGTTGAGATTAAACTATCAAATGATATGCATGATACTAAAGGAAATATATTTTTGGATATGATCCTCCTAAGGGATCGTGTCCAAGCAACAACCACCCGTCGAAAAACTAAATGAATAGAGCAAGCAAGTACCTAATTTAAGCTGAGGCATTATAAACTTGCAATCCATCTCATAGCAATTTATATTTTGCAGGCACATAAGAACAAACGAGGCATGCCTAGTTGCTACTACTTGGTGAGATAACATATACTTGACTAACATACAAGCACATCCAATGCCATAGTGACATGATTTTTGCTATCTGTCCAATCAAAAAAAAACTTGATACACGATAATCCAGAACTACGTGAATGTTTGATGCTTTTATTACATAAAATCAACGTACGGACCATATAACATAGCAGTGACTGCAATAATATGTATATTTCATGTTTTAATGAAATTCTTGTGATGAATAAAACTAAAGGTCACCTCATCAACGGCATTATCCAACAGCTCAGCAATAGCTGCAATAAAATGTATACATCGTCAGTATTACCTCTTGAAAATACCATCAATAACATAGAACTTTTGTATAATAACTTCGGCTTTGAGGAATTAGAAGGACCCATTAAAGTACCCATTTTCACCTGCCAAAGTACAATAAAATGTCTGTGGTCTTCAAAATTTCTGCATGCTCATTGGGACTTCATGGATTCTATATGATATGATCTAATTCTCTTTTCACTTTCAGTTTGAGATTTGTTTGTAGCCTGTATTCAGGCCAGTGTGTTGATTTCTGGTTGGTGTGAGATGACTAGTTAAGATGGATGTAAGAACACCAGTGTGCTTATGCATACAGATACAGAGTACATATCCATGGAGACCAATTATAAAGAACAAACAATAAGATGGAAGTCTGGAAGATAGGAGGACAGTCAAGATGCCACGTTTGATGTCACAGATCAACAAGTTTGCTTTTTTTTTCAAATAACTTGTTGAATATAAACTCTATCATGGGCTAATTCATATTGTCCCCATGCCTAGAAGAAGATCAATAGTAAACTTAGCATATATGCAGCTTGTGTATTCCTCGGCATATAAATAGAATATTCGAACCTGACAAAATATAGAATCACATAATAGAGTAACCTCATAATCACTCGCCGTTCATCTATGTCGACTCCGCCATACAGTCCATACCACATTGTTGACTAACCAAGCCACTCAGACTCTCTCAATTTGATAACTCGGAAAAGCATTTATGTCAATCTCAAAACAGTTGATGGAATAAGATATCATAGAAAGAAATGAAAGATTATCCAAATCAAATGACTAATCTATATTAATTTCAGTTTGCTCCTTGCTTATATTTCAAAAAGTTAATTTCTTCTCTACTTCTATGATTCCATCCGGAGTATTATCACCTAGCTTTCTCAGTTTCCTAGTCAAAGATTATTTTCTAATGTTCCAACATTAGGAATACAGTAAAATTTGCACCTTGAGTACTTCAAATTTTGATTTTGAGGGATTATAATGAAGCATGAGAAGATTTAATAAAAGACTGCACTTCTTATTGCTTCTCCTTACTTAAACCCCAAAAGGGAGACAATCAAAGTGTAGGAAATACCTCCGAAAGCCCATTTGTGAGAAGTTGCATTGGAATGAAGAAACTTTGGGTGCACACGAGCATGTTCCAGTTCACCTGAAATAAACCAGAACTCCATTCAGTGACTCTGCAAGACACGTGTGCATGTGTGTTCCAATCACCTATATGTTGTGTAATTCTGTTTTACTCCTATATATATATATATATATATATATATATATATATATGCCTAGTCCTATAACAATGTAATGTCCAAGTCCAACATCTAAAGCCAGGGACCAAGAGGGATGGACACCATGGAAATTGCAACAATTTCCTTTGTGATAGAATTCCAAGCCACTTTTATCTATTTTGTGTTCCATTGTAATCATTGCGTATAATTTTATGCTATTCTTTCCAGGTTCCTATTTGGTCGTTAAACATTTAGCTAATGGTAGTTCAAAATTTATATCGAAAAGAAGCAACAGCACTACCACTACAGAACCTCTGGATAAGTGGAAGTATGAAGTATGAAGTGTTTGTGAGCCAGATTAACACTTGCTTAAGTGAAGCCACACAATTTAGCTACTGATACTCCCTCCATTCCCGTATTGACCTTTGCGAAAGGAACAACAAAAGTGCGCATGTAGTGTAAGATGTTGCTACTTTTCCTGAATCCTGAAAGCGGAATCTCATGGAACTGAGAGAATAATACAAAGAATGCATATCTAAACCTTGGGAAGGATTCCATTTTGTTGGACCGATTTCAAATGCCCCTGCTTTCCAAAAACTCCGGTTCTCCAATTTCCGATCATCCGACTCGATTGTTGCATTATTCTGAACTTCAGGTCCGCTTGGTCGATCACCGCCTTCATCATCACTATCGGGAATCTCTACAACGTTCAGCGGATTCTCTACAAACCTCGCCATTAAAACCGATCCAAATTGAAGAATTGCTGGAGCAAATTCGTAATTAGGGTTTTGAACATCTGTTGACAGTAGAGGGATTTTTTCTCTTTGGTTCAATGATTTCGGTTTGTGGAAATAGTTTGTTTATGAGTAAACTACAATTTTCGTCCATGTGGTTTACATAATCTCTGAAAGTGATTCCTAGACTTCAATAATTACAATTGTTGTCCCTACTATTTACATTTTGCTTTAAAAATCGTCTCTGGTTACTAACTTCGTTAGATTAGTCCGTTAAGTAAGAGGGCATTTTGGTCCTTTTACCTATTTCTTTGTATTTTTCTGCTTTGTTTTTATTTAGATAATATTTAATATTATTTTTTATATAAAATACATATATATCGCAGGTGGACCCCCCCCCAAGCGACGGTCAGCATCTTCATCCTAACCCCTCTAGGCTTTATCTTCATCCTAATTCCTTCAGCCACCTTTGTCCATCCCCCCCCCCTTTCGATTTTTGCTGTTATGACTAGCCTTACTATCTATCAACCCTAAAATGTAACATAGGTGGAGGTGAGAATCCATCATAAAGACCAAAATGCTATCACAAGGATGATTTTTGCTGCTACCATAGAGACGAAACTACACAAGGAACTCCAGTGAAGAGTTCTAAAATCCTTCCCCCTTAAGATGCAACCTCCATTTCTGATGAAGAGGTCCCTCCGATTCTAAGTTTTGGATTTTCAATTTGGAATCGATTTCTAACAGTAGGTCTCTGATTTTGTTTTAGATTTCATTTTGGAACCGAATTTACTGGTTTATGACGGCTTTATCAATGGTGGAATAGATTTTCACCATTTTCTTGAGAGTTGGTTAGGGAGATGTAAAAGGTTTGAAGCCACCGATTCAAAGCACGGTCGAAGATGGTGTCCTCATCTGTTGTCGAAGTGTGTTTGTGTTTGTGTTTAGGACAGATGGAAGGGAAGGGAAGATGGGTGATGGCGATGAGAATGAAAACACAAAGAGAGAGAGAGAGAGAGAGAGTGTGTGTGTGTGTGTGTGTATGTGGTGGTTCACGACGCTCACAAGTGGGTGGTTCAGCAGTCGATCGTCGGAGACGATGTTGATTGTTGGAGACGACCGACGTCTTGGTCGCAGATGCGTATATATAATATAAATTATAGTAAATTACAATTTGGTCTCTATAGCTTAAACAAAATTGTATAACTTGTCCCTGTAAAGGTAAAAAGTGGGGGTATTTTTGTAAATTTTACAAATAGGCGGCAAACGGTTCATAAGTGAACCCATGTGATTTATAGATGAATTATATGTCCATATGTGAACCCGTGTGATTCACATATGAACCTTTGTGATTCACATATGAACTAATTAATGGGTTCACATATGAACATATAATACATATGTGAATCACAAAGGTTCACATATGAACTTGTTTGCCGCCAATTTGTAAAAATTACGAAACTACCTCTCTATCTTTCGCATACTCATGAGAGGAATTACCCGGTGTTTCACAGTCAAAACCGCAAATATTGACCAGATAAAGGGCTATGATGACTTATTTACTTCTCAAATACTTATCACTTTTCAAATGAACCTTCCCATATATATATATATATATATATATATATATACATACTTGGGATCATGTGAGACCAAAGGTTTTTCGTGAGACCCGTATAGGGATGGTAATGGACCCCGACCCGTCGGGTAACCTGGTCCACCCGCCCGATCGGGGAAGGGGAATCCCCGAAAAATCGGGTCCGGGGACGGGGATCCCCGCTTGGCGCAATCCGGGGATGGGGTCGGGGACGGGTATAGCACTCCCCGCCCCGCCCCGTACCCGTTATTTATGTGTATATATGTTTTATAAGAATTGGGCTTTTGACTTTGGGCTTTAGTTGTAAAACATAATAGAATGCATCCTTTCCTTAGCCCAATCCACACTAAGTCCAAGCTTATCTTTCCCTTCCCTCCAAGGTCCATGACCAGTCACCAGTTCTGCAATTCACCACGACCGACCCCACGACGCGCTGCTGCTGCTCGCTCTCCTCTCCAGTGTCCACGACGTGCTGCTGCGACGGTGACGGTGACAGGCTGGCCGACGACTCCACTCTCCCTCTCGGCTCTCCCTCTCGGCTCTCCCTCAGTCCCTCTCGGCCTCTCCCTCTCGGCTCTCCCTCTTGATTTGTTACCGTATGCTTACATTCTTCACCTTCACTTGATCATTTCTTGTTAAATTATTGGTTTACCTTATCTATTTGCCTACTTTTTCTTGATTTGTGAACTAATGTGGACCCAAATTAGTATATTATTGTTGTTGGTCAATTTATTTAAATAAGTTAGGGTTTTGACTTTTTTTATTATAATGATCATATTCTATGGTTTTGAGTTTCTTTATTAATAAGTTAGGGTTTTGACTTTCCTCTAAATTTTGTAAGTTTATTATCACATACAAACTTTTTAATTTTAGATGGAACCTTCGGAAAACGAGAACATACATGGTGATGAGACTGAGATGGAAGGAAACAAGGAACAAGTAACAACCGGTGATGATACTTACGAACCCGTAAGYATGCCTGTAGGGACTAACACGGGCAATAAACAACCACAAAAAAGATTAAAGTCGGGAACATTATATCCTACGTCAAACATCTTTTTTCCGTTGATTTGTGAAATGAAAGTGTCTTTGTTGAGTTGGAGAAATTCTGTTCATGATGTTATTAGGCAAATGGCATCATTAATGTTGATCAAGTTCAACAAATATTGGAGTGTCATACATGAGGTTATGAGTATAGCAATTGTATTAGATCCTAGATATAAGTTGAAGTTAATAAATTATTTCTTTCCRAAAATCTATGGTGGTGAGGCAAAAAGTGAGGTTATGAGGATACGTAACCTATGTGTCGAGTTGTTCGAAGAGTATAAGAAGAAGTATGYCGACAAACCTTCACAAAAAGGACAATCAACCGCTAGTTCCTTAGATGGAGATGATTTCACTTHTGACAAACCTACATGGGAGATGGATTATGAGTCTATGATGTGTGATGATGACATCTTGACAACAAGTGAATTGGATGATTATTTGGCCGAAAAAGTTTCACCTAACGAAGACGGCTTTGATATCTTATTGTGGTGGAAATGCAATGGCTCCAAGTTTCCTATGCTCCAAAGAATTGCAAGAGACGTTTTAGCCATACCAATTTCTACGGTAGCTTCTGAATCCGCTTTTAACATGAGCGGTAACAAAGTCACAAAACAGCRTAGTCGACTACACCCACAAACAGTTGGAGCATTAATGTGCACTCAAAGTTTTGTTACGGAAAGAACTTCAAGGTAAAAAATTATTTAAATTCTTAGTCATACAAGTAATTATATTTTTTTCTAACTTGTCTTACTTTTTGTAGATAAAAAACATGGAGAGCCCCAAGCATTTGATGAAACAGTTRCATATGATGCGGATGTCGAGTAACAACTAACAAGTGGTTGTTTTATTTTTTTGATGGTAGATAGTATGGAAATTTATTTGATATGTTTTGGTTCTTTCGGATATTACTCGATGTAGTTTTAGTATGTTTGACGTTAACTTTGATAATATTAGTTTAAACTTTTTGGTCTTGTTTAAGTCTTATTTTAATATTAGTGTATTTCAATAAATAGTGATGTTTTATAATTTTTGGTTTTTAAAAAAAAATCCCCGTTTCCCCGTTGGGGATCCCCGTTCCCCGTTGGGGATGGGGATGGGGATGGGGATGTGATCATAATCCCCGGCGGGGACGGGGACGGGGACGGGGATGGGGACACATACGGGGATCGGGGACGGGGATGGGTATTGGGGTCCCCGCCCCATTCCCGCCCCATTACCATCCCTAGACCCGTAAGACCAATTCTCAACCCTTGGATTAGATCTACAATCTGAACATTCATAATCACAAAATTGTCACGAGACTTCTCAATAATCACAAAATTGTCATCGTGCAATTTTAGACCATTAGATCATTAGCTTATAAAGTTGATCAATGAACATAAATTGGTCTTACGGGTCTCACGAAAAACCTTTGGTCTCACGTGAACCCAACTCTCTCTCTCTCTCTCTCTCTCTCTCTCTATATATATATATATATACATATATATGGGTAAATCAAATACAAACAATGGAAATGTTACAAACCTTACATGCCAATCTCAATCTTCCCTCTAGTCTAATGAATATCTTGTTTCATAATTGTATCAATTGTATAACACAATGATTATTATAAATGAACTCTAATCTTCCGTAAATATTCAAATCATAATAAATGAATCTTCATCATTTCTGTAAAAATATCTTAATTGATTGGTTTGTATGGTATCTAACTTTTTCATGGTTTGTATTTGATTTGTATTATATATATATATATATATATATATATATGGGTCTAATAAAAAAAGAACGAGATAGATTGTGATAACTATGAGATCCAATGTGAGTCAATCATTTAAGATAATTAATGTTATTTCTTAAAATAAAGTAAAATGATAGATTATTAATTTAGTATTCACGTTCTATATTTAATTAAATCATTTAATAACTCTCTCTCTCTCTCTCTCTCTCTCTCTATATATATATATATATATATATTTAACAACTCTGTTTCCTTTCATATTCTCATTTTGTATTACCAAAATTTACATTTGATGTTGTGAACATGTTGTAAGTAATGGGTATCATAGTGGATATCAACGTATATACATTCACAATTGGTATCACATTGTTGGTTTGTGAACATATTGTGGTATTATAGTAAGTATCACAGTGTGCATATTGTAAGTATCTTGCGTATCATAGTGAGGATCGTTTGTATGCATTCTTTTTAACAACGGTGTTTTCTGGGTATCACATTGTATCTTATGTCCACACTGTGTTTGTCAAAGAGATGGGAGATAAGATATCTAAAATACCTAAAATGTCTTTAATTAACATTTACCAAAATTATTAACTTCATAATTTATCATTTGATTCGTGGTTGAGATTTGATCTTACGGTTATCATAAATTACTAAGTTCTCCTTTGAATGACCAATGTACATATGCTAAATCATTTGAGAACTCTCGTCT